ACTAATAATATACTAATAATAACTAATAATAAACTTAATAATAAAACTAATACTACAACTCATTCTATAACAGTATAAAATATAGTAATTATATTATTATATATACTGTATATATACATTATTATTAAAAAAAATAAATATTAATTACCCAATTAGGTTTAATATGTGCACACAGCAAGGTACATGAATCAATTGTGGCATTACTGTAAGCAAAACATTGTGATAATATTTTTTCATATATGCAGCCGAATTTGATAAAAAAATACAAGGAAAAGTAAATGGAATATCATAATTTGAAAGAATTTAAAAAAGAGTTTGTCCCATAGTGCAATTATTAACTTGAGTAAGAAAATTAACAGAGACTAATTTTGTATTGTTTCTATATGCAAATATCATATTAACTACACTTCGTGAGCAGCTATCTGTTGTTTCATCCATAATAATTGCAATATGTTTTTGTTTAAAAAATGATTTAAGATTATTTAAATGGTTAGAAAAAACCTGGAGAAGATATAATTGGCGTAATATAGATGTTTGTGGAATAGCTCCACCCTCTTTACAATATTTTTTAAAAAATGAATGTAAAAAATTAATTTTTTTTATTGGAATATTGGCCGCTATGAAAGATTCAATTAAATCATTTAAGAATTTTTTTTTTGATTCAGAAGATCCAAGAGATGTAATAATAGTTTGTTGGTGTTGCTTATTTTTCTGTAAAGTTTTGTTTGTTTTGTGTGTTTTACTATTAAGATGGTCATCAACTGTCAACTTTCGTACCCAGTCTATTGAGTGATCACAAAAATTACAAAATAAAATTTCATCGTTAACTCTAAATTCACCTGGGTTTTCTTCAACCCTAGTATGAGCCATAACTTTTAATACTTTGCTTTTCTTTTACTTATTATAATAGATAAAAATATGGGGTAAAATTTTTACAACAATATTATAAGTGTAAAGATTTTTATTGAATTACCAATAACCTGAAGACATCTTTTATTAATTGAATTTATACTTTTTACAAAATCAGAACAAATCATAAAAATTCATACATAGTATTATTATTATTATGTATTAATTTTTTTTTTTGATTACTAATTCTTCGTCTCATTTTTCAATTATGAATTCAAAACATTCTCTTTAGTTTTTTATATTCCTTCTATACAATTTTACTACTTTAATATTATTATCTTAAACTCGTGCAACTATAAATTTTTATTACTTGTTTATTTAGGTTAGCTGTTTCAAACAAATTATTGACCCAAATTACAACTAACTTTAACAGTTAAAATTAAAAAAAAATCTGTACAGTGCTCAGTGTCAAGTAACATAAATTAGCTGTTTTTAGCTTTATTACTTTAAAAAAATCATTACTACCCTCATTATTCCTGCTTTCTGTAATAATTCTGCAATGACTATGATCCTTTCTGCATTTGTAATCTTATTCCATGATTTCTGCGATATTCTGTATAATGCAAAAAATCATCGGCCCTGCCTGGGTGGGTGACATTTTTAAGTTGACCTGATTTCTACTTGGGTGACTTATTGTCTACCTGACGGGTGATCTGAGTAAAGGTTTTTAAGACGGTTCAAATCATTAGTTTTTGGAGAATCTGAGTTAGATCGAATTAACACAAAATCAACTCTGCAAGCCATTGTGGTATAGAAAAAATCTGATAAAACAAAATGCTGTTTCAATAAGCTTTTTAGACCAATTGATGCAGCTACTTTGGATAAAACCTACTTCGATCAAATTAATGCAAGAGCATGGTCTACTAGTATGCTGACTAATATACAACTGGCATACACTGCAACTGTATGCCAGATATTGTTTAATTCACATTATAAAAAGCTCACTATAAGTGATGAAATTACTAAAAACTGACTAAATAAAAATATAGTAAGTAAATATTTAATATATAATTAAATATATTTATTTATTTTAATATATATAAAATAATACTAATATATATAAATTAATTAATTAGAATAAGCTAGCATCAGGTAATAGATTTAAACCCCAGCTAATAAACGTGAAAAATTTTTAACTGAAGATGAACAAGTTGATAATACATCTTCAAGTAGCAGAGTCGAAAAATAAAAAGAGTGATAAAACCAATCTAAACAGACAGAAAAAGCAAGCATACAAATACTGGCACTACACCAGTTGCCGATTCTGACTTCTATTATGAATCACATGCATCTGAACATTCTCAATATTCTCAAGATAATTCACAATATCCAAATACATCCTAAGATATTCTGATTACCTCAACTATATCTACAATTGTTCTGCCTTCACAACCTCATTCTAATGACACTGGTCTTCATGAAGAATAAATAAAATTTTTTAATTATTATTATTTTTTTTTCCTTTGGCAACCTTGCTGGTGATCCTTTATTAAGATTATTATATAAAACTAGTTATATAATATTGAGCTTAATATTTAGGCCCGACATCCCTCAGCTGTTTCTATAGATGTCAAAAGCGATCTGCCACACTAGATAGAGTTTTATAATCTCTGCCTAAAAGGCTTTTATCAAGTTGTCTCAGAAGCCTTATAGACCTCAAAAAGGTTTTGATTTAGTTTCATTAAGTTAAGTTTACCTGAATACTCTTCTGCTATACTATTATCTAATTCTAATCTATCTAATCCTAATTCTATTTGGCTATCTAAAATACCTTTCTTATATAAAAATACTATACTATCTATTTCTAAGCTAATATTATTTTTTCTCTTTTTTCATTTTACTTTATATTTTCCCACAGATAACTTGACTTTTAACTCTTCAATGCTTCTCTTTTCTTCTCCTTTATCTTCTTCGTTAGTTGTTAATGGTTCTCTACTCTGAATAGAGTTTTCTTCTTTACTTTTTTCTTTCTGCTTTTCCAGTTTGTTCTAATCTTCTTACTTCTTCTTGCTTGAATTAAAAATTCTCCTGAATTCGCTAAAATCTTCTCTAGAAGTTTCTTTCGTGATATCTTCAAACTATCTACTGTTTGGTTAGCATCTTTCACTTCATTATTTATAATTTTTTTCTCCAATATATTTTGTAGTTGAAGGTAACTTCTTGTTAATTCTTTATAAAGATACTCAAGATTTCCTCTTTTTTTCTTCTTTGAAGTTTCTCTTATTTCGTTTTTTTTCTCTAAGACCTGTAATCCACTTCTTGTATCGATATAATTTCTCCAGATATTTTTCTAAGTAATTATTAAATAACTCTTCTTCCTTGTCTATAGGATTTTTTACTTTATTCTTATTATATCCTCTTTTCTCTTCTTCTTTAAAGATCATCACTTTGATATTTTTTTCTTCTCTTGGTTTGGTTCTACAATATAAATGTATAATTCTTCGATTTGTTAAAAGCAATCTTCTATTCTTTTCTTTCTTTGTTGCAATCTTTGCTCTAAACTTTCTTGTCTATGAGTTTGAATCCATACTTATCTTGTTCTAATTTCTCCATGTAATCTTCTATCTGCAAATTAAATACCTCTGTATTTGTCGAGATTTTTATATTTTCTTTATCTTCTTTTTTATCATTTTGTATTAGAAAAAATAAATTTTCTTGTCCAAGTTGTTAAATTAAACTTTCTTCTATATTTCTTCTTTTTTTTTATAAGATTAACTATCCAGTCATTATAAAGCTCTGGTTCTTCTAAATAATCTTCTATTGATTCATTTAATACTTTTGCAGATTTGGTTTGTTTTCTAGAATCTTCTTTTTCT